CTTTTCGTCCCAAACCAAATTCGTTATCACGCAGAAGATTGTCAAAGTCATGTAGGTGACGGCGAAGTTCGGTATGACGCGTTGCACGTTTGCATGTAGGCCATCGTTAAGCGACTGGTCATGCCAGATGCCCACCTCGATGAAGGGGGACTCGTACTGCATTGTGAATTTTTCTAGCAACGATCTCCATTCGCCGCTTTTTCGGTTTATTTCTTCAGGATAGTCCCGCAAGTCATAGATCAAACGAACCGCCGTACAGAAATCGAAGTTTCCTTTGTCATCTTTGATTTGAACTCCTACAATTGAAAAAATTTATTTCAAATATCACTTGAATTCGAATTCAACAACTCGAGTGGCAGACGAATGAGATTCTGAAAGCTGTTGTCTGCCGGGGTACATGAACAAGTCAATTGCCAAAAGTATCACTTTTAGGCAAATTTAAGTAAACAAGCAATCCAACTAATGGATAAACAACGAAGCGACTTTCGACGTATTCACAGTGCATCAAACGTTTCATGATCAGGAAGGTCGTAGCCAACCCAAAAAACTACGCAATGCAATGGGATGTCATCAGCCTCGACCAAACGGAAGTCAAGTGGCAGAAAAACATTTTGGAGGCTGTCACGATGGAACGTATGAAAAGCATGATCAACAATCAAGACGAAACACACGCGATTAGGACACCATGGTTTATTCTGCTACAATATTGAATTGTCAATAAGTATATAATATTTGAACTCGTGTCCCTCATTTCAAACTAATGCCCCTACAATTGTAATCATACATCCATATGCCCATGCTTCGGCGTGTTAGAATTTGGTGATATGTTACATGAAAAGTAACATGAACGATTAAAACGGAACAAGATAAGACAATCTGCCGAATCCTGAAGATCAAATTGTGCGGGAAAAGCAAAACTGTGGCCACATGGGAACGAATGCCAGTACGAGGTATCATATCGTGGATGAAGGCGCAAGGCTAGAAAACTGGATATAAAGAAGTTATGAAACGTTTTTGTTAAGGGGGACAGAAAACACTAAAACATAAAGAACTCAGGATCAAAACATGATAAATTTAAAGAGCAAAGGTTAAAGTCATTCTTGTTGTGATAGGTGCCCACAGTGCAGTGAAAACAGGCCATATACAACTATTAGAATCAACTGGTGAGGAGATCAAAGTGAGCAAACTGCATAAGACGGCCGTTCAAGCATAAGTGATTTTATACCAACTTCCTGTAAGGGTGTTAATGGAATTAAAAATTCCAAATTTTATCATATTTGCTAACGAATCAAGGTACTGACTGACTGACTGACTGACTGACTGACTGACTGACTGACTGACTGACTGACTGACTGACTGAC